GGGGCATGCAAGAATGCAGTCCGTCGAGCCCGTCGATGGCTCCTTGGGAATGACCAGACAGGCGGTGGTGGATGGGCATCACTAATTGACACGCTGTACGCAGTTCGTTGCGCATACCTTGATGTCACGTCCAGTCTATGTTATAATGCCAATTCTGGCAGTTCCTCCCCGACATATTTCTTTTCTCAACTCGTCGTCGAATTAGTCTGCAATATATGGTTTCTTGCAACGCATGATTGGCCTTTGGAATTGCACTCTTGCCTGGGTGTCCAGCCTGTCGTTGGTGAGCTTTGCCCCCTGGACGCAGGGAGGAGCGCAAGGCCAAATATTGCAATCACATTTTGCACCAACAAATTCGTTGCCCTTTGGCGTACGTCATACGCTGCAAGTGGATGGATATGTGCACAGCTTTGGCCTCCCGTCTGTGGGTGTATCGGTCTGTGTGCATTGCACATAACCCATCAAAAGTTGGTCTAGATCTCGTGTTGCCCCTTTCTCCTGTCTTACCCCTTTTTCGTGGCCGTTTACTGGACCACCTCAGATTCTTGGCCCCGACAGTCTCACATCGCGACGTTACGAGTTGTTGGGAGTACGCGATGGGGGACTTTTTGTGTTTCTGTGTTTCTGTCTTTCTTGTCGAAAGACCATCACAACTTCTTGCCATCGCCTGTATTACTCAGCGACTTGTGCTGTACGTCGTCATTGCCATGGCTGTATGTCGTATGCTGTAAGTCGTGCAACGGGTATGATCACAGCGGCTCGCTTGTTCCTTCGAAGGAGTCCTCTACCATAATGCGACATGGCATGAACCCCAAAGCTTGCTTTTGGACAACGCTGCGGAGTAATAAATGCTGCAGGTGGCATGTTGCCAATTACGGCGGTGTATTAAATACGTCGCCGAGGCCGCGTCCGAACGAGCCTGAACATCTTGGACACAGCATGCTATTTTACCCTTGGCATGGGTTCTGACCAAGGGAACATCAATTTAAAATTAATCTGGGCGCAGCACTGCCCGCGTCGTATCCACGATGAAATTCCCCATGTTTCCCAATCTTCCATTGCTTCTCCAATTCTGCACGTTGGAATTGCAATGGGGCATTCCCAGTGCAGCGTCGGCCAGGGGCCCTCGTCTGGTCCTGCATGTGAACAAACGACGAAAGTACGACGTAGGTCTGGGGCTTTGGTCACACGAGTTGTCGAGTCAGTTACGGCAGTGAGCTGCAATACATGGCTCAAACCACAAGAGACCAGAGACTTCGTGCTACTGACCTGCCAGGGGAAGAATCTCGAGAGGGGAATGAAGATAAAAACTGGGGAATGGAGCATCTGATCTCGGGACGTTTTGTGGGTTTAGCCTCATCGCAATTTTAACTACGACATTCTGCCAGGCCATTGTGGCCTTGTGAATTTTATTCTCTTTTCTATTTTTGTCGTCCTGCCAATCCTTGCCCTTATTAAGCACTCCGTAGTACGGAGTGCAGAGTTGAGTCTCATGTGTCGTGTGTCCAACTGTTCCATCAAATCTTGCACATCTGCATGCACGGAATTTGGATGAACTGCTGCCACCGTCCCTCGTCCATGCCAGCGGAAAGCATGTAAGATACCTGTTCGTCGTACGATGTACCTGCAGGTACGACTTGCAAGCTCCACCTCATTCGGGGTCAAGTCGTCGTCCCGTTACAATGTACGCTCGTCTTATTCGGCACAAAGTGATAAATTCGAAAAAAACGGCCGTTTAATATTTTGCTCTCCGCAGCCTCGACATGCGCGCGAAATACACACACATGCGCAAACTGACGATGGATCGTCAGACTCCACAAGCAAGTTGTTGGGGCTCTTGATTGAACAACCAGCGACCTTGAGAGAACCCTTTTAAGAGCGTTTTCAACCAGCCCTGCCAAGCTTGCCGAGAGAACAAAACGTGACAAGAGAGAGAGACAGACGGGGATGCCACCGCAGCTTTCTTTCTGGACGGGCTCGCTCCAGGCCCAGATCGGTGAATTGGCCGCAAAGCTGACAACCCCGTTGGCAAAAGGGTGTCAGAGTTTGTTGTCTTCCTCATGTACTCGACAGAGCGATCCTACACAAAGGACGACCGGATTTAGCAAGCTGCATTGGAGCGTGGGCGGGACAGGATATAGCCACTTTCCGTACGAAAAGAGCACAACAGTCTTCTGGCCGTGATCAATCCCTCTACAAGCCCACACAAGATAAGAGCAAAGTGGCGCAATCCATAGCAGGTCCTACTGCAACGATCGTCCTTGTCCGCGCTGCCCGTTCCGAGATTGGCGCACTTTGTTCATATCGTTAGTCTCCGCAGAGTAATACAGAGTACTTGCGCATTAAGCTACTGAGCTACTGAGCTACTGAGCTACTGTTTTGGAGCTACACTTTTTGACGGCCAAGCACCAAACTCTCATTCACTTTCACCTTCTTTTTCTTCGCAAGACAATATTGGGCGTACAAAGGCGTCCTGGCCTAGGACCAAGATGTGATACGGAGTATGTCGAATGCCGTACGGCATGGAGATCGTTTGGGACTGCTATGTGCTGCCGATGGATCACACTACAGAATGAAGACAAAGACAAAAGGCATTCGGTCATTGGAATTATACATTGTACATTTTATATAATACAAAAGAGTCAAAGCAACAAACCAGGCAGGAGACGCGCAGGAATCTTGTTATCATCGTCATGCCCGCAGAAAGTACGCCGCAAGTTTATTGCGTTGACGGCATTGATTACTCTGGGGCCGTCCGGAACCCAGGACTCCACGATTCCCCAAACCAGAAAGTTCCCGTCTCGCTTCGTCCCTTCTCAATATAAACCATTACCGTCCGCCTAGAGCCTCAATTTGACGGACCGCTGAGTGGCCAGTATTTGTCTTCTTCGGCGTTTCCCCTCACTCCATTTGCTCCGTCGTCGGACCGTTGCGTATCTCGTTGCTGTCCCTGGGAGGATTTTCTTGTCATTTTTGCCCTCACAACGTCCTTGGCCTCATGCCATTGGATGCTTCTCAGCCTTTGTTGCATCTAGTCGCCGTTCGAAATAGCCAATGCACATTGTCCGTGCCGTGGGTTTCCCTGTCTGATGTGCAGTTGCTGAGGGTTATCGCAACCAACTAGCAAATGCAGCCATCGCCTTCTTCTGCGTTATGGTTTCTGTCCCGCCCGCCTTGCCGCGACCAACAAGAAGGCAAGAGAGTGAGAGGTCTCCTGCACCTTCTGCACCATCTGCATCGCCTGCATCGCCTGCATTGCCTGCATCGCCTGCATCGTCCGCATCGTCTGCAACTTATGTATGTTTTTCGTTCGTTCTTTTCGTGCGTCCTTGCAACATCGTTTTGCACCCCTGGTCCCATCATCTGTCCTTCCCCTCCACTCTTTTCCGTCCCTCCCCCACTTACCTCCATTGACCCCTGCTGTTCCCCTCTTCTCTGTGTCGTTCTTCGGTTCCTCGTCCCTCTTTTGCTCCTTCCAAAAGCCACAATTCAACATTCTGGGGCTCCATTTCGTTGCTGAGGAGTTGCTTTGCTGCTTCTGTCTGTTCGCCACGGCCAGAGTCTGTAGACCCGGACCAAGACCCCGTAGTAAGGCCTTTTGCTTGTTCAAAATATGTCGTCTGCGGAGCTCTGCAAAGTCAATGTGCGAGTACGTTTTCTCTGGAAAAAAAGATCGAGGCAACGTCAGTAAACAGTCGGTTCAAAGTATGGGTCAAAAGCCGACGCATGTTCGCCGTGGCAGGCAGACAAATCCACCCGCAAACCGGACGTCTCCAACATCAGCGCACTCGGATGTATTCACGGCTGGGCTGACGAGCCGAGCGGCCTGAAGAGTCGGCCGGGTGGGGTTGGCGACAGGAAGGGGTGGTGGGACACGAGCAATCCAGGGCCTGGCCTGACGAACCAGCGTCAGAGAGGTGGGTGTGCATGTGTGCATTTGCACGAGTGCGTGCTCTGCGGCCCTGTGTGTGCAACCATGGGTGCCAGTGTGTGTTGTGTTCTGTGGAGACGTGCAGCAAGCTGCACGACTGTGTGTGTGTGTCTGTCTGCGCGAGTCTACGTGTGCGAGTATGTGTGTCTGCAAAGGTTGTTCGACGGACGAGCTGTCCAGGCACTCTGTACGTCGTAACACGATGTACTTTCTGCCGACTGGACAGCAGTCAAGTCTGCCGTGTCTGGGACGTGTTTCTCGACAATATTCCGTAGAAATGTCCCCATTCTTTGGTTCTAGCCCTGTGTTCCACAAGGTACAAAGGTACTTGCTGGTTGTCGAGAAACGCTGCGTTGGCAGAGCTCGTTGGGAACCGTCGTTGTTCGAGGCCATTGCTCAGACAGCCCCGAGACGCATCTAGCCCAATGGAGTGACGACATAAGAACATAACAAAATAAATAAATAAAGCGTCTGCGGCTGGGACTCTCGTTGGAGGTGCGCCATGCATTGGGAAAGAGGAAAGAGGGTGGTGGCCTGGTAACGCACCAGCGTCAGTTGCTTTGCTCTCAATCGTCCATTGCTCTTGCCCTCGTTACTCTTGCAGAAACAAATCCGCCGTCCTCCATTGCTCCTTCCTCTTTTTCTCCATTCGCTCCTTCCTTTTCACTCTCGTCTTCACATCTTCGTTCGTTTGCAGGTACACATAAATAAATTCAATTCGACTCGGACCAAAAATTTCCTCTTCCTCTCTCCCTCTTCCTCTTACATCCTCAACCAGATCTGCACCTTTCCAACCAAGCTAGAGCTGCATTACCACACTGCACACTAACCTACTTCCTATCTCACTGTACGTCAATGCCAATCGCCTTCCTCTTCTCTACTGCTTTGCCTCAGCACGCGAAAGCACGACTTCTAATTCGATTCAATAGTCGACAGTCGACAGACTCACAATTCAAAAACCACACGTCTTTTGCCTCCTACCGTCGACTCGCGGCTTCAACTCTGCGCTTTCCCCCCCTCCGTTCTTAGCATTGTCGAGACAAACCATCACGACCGACAGCAGCTCACCATGGAGTCTCAGTTCCACGCTTTCTACCAAGTCTCTGCACAGAGCATTGTCGACAAGGCTGCCTCGAAGAAGGGCCAGACCGGCTCGAGCAGCAGCTCCGGCTCTGGTTCCGGCTCCGGCACCAGCAGCACTGACACGTCCCACACGTTCTCGGAGAAGTCCTCTGCGTACACGACGTCGTCGGGCCAGACTGGAAAAAAGTAGGCCATGGACGGCCACCCCGATGAAAAGCAAACCTCGGAACGGACCAGGGACCATGAATCGGCATGGGGAAGACCCTACTCCGATGCTCGGGCGGACCGCTGAAGAATCGGGAGCTCGGCTGTTGTTTTTCTAACAAGTCGCACTTGGGGAGGAACAGCAGCCAGCAAAATCCATGCAAACCCCGACGGACCGGTGCGACTGACATATCACTTTGACACGTCAGAGCCACCCTGTGGTCTTATTTCCTTTGTTTATCTCTTGTTCCGTTTTTTTTCGTCTCCTTCTCTTTTCCATCTAGGGCCACGACCTTTTCTTTTGTTTCGCTATCTGTGGTTTTTCGGACCGGATATTGTTTTCAAGCTTGACAGGGTTTTTTTTTTTTGCGATTCTGCGCCAGAATGTTTGGGCTTCCCAGCACTGCCCCGTCTTTTGAGGACCAGGGCTGTTGGCGATATACCTCAACTCTATGCTTTTATGACCAGGGAAGGATCATGGACGGGATTATTGCGAACCAAATGGTTTTGTTTTTCTTATGTGCTTTTCTTTCCTTTTCTTTGCAGCGATTGCAATTCGGTTTGCAAAAAGGGGACATTGAAAAAGGGACAAAGTCGGGAACTTGGGCGGGCAGGCAGGTTTTGCTTTAAAAAGTTTTGTGGACTTTTTCGACCACCGAGCGCTATGGGCCTTTTCTCTCTCAATTTCCATTCACTTTCTCCTTCTCTCAACCTTTTTGTTTCGATTTGCTTCTCTGTTGCCACAACACAACGGCGACCCTTTCGGCTCCCATGGCAATAATCTCTAGTCTAATAACCTATTGACGGCTATCACAAGTCTGCCTTTTCGTCAGTGTGTACCTCCTCGTGCCATGTACTGATTGCTGGCTTCCCCTAGTCCTCTCTTCTCCTTGGCTACCGTAGCCACTTGACTATTGTACCATAGCCAGCTCGCTAGGCCTAGATCCATTAAGACAGAAGCTAAATTGGTGCGCTGGAACCAAAGGCGGGAGACCAATAGTTAGTAGGCGATCATTACGCAAACAGCTATTTATTTTGAGCGGGCCGTCCCACAAATGGGTGATCGCCCCCTGCTCGTTCTTGGAGGCCAGAGTTGAGTTGAGGGCGAAGTGAGAACAGGGTAAGGGGTCTAGGTCTAGCTAGGTCTCTAGGTCTAGGTCTAGTTCTAGGTCGAGGCCAGGCCCTCATTCAAGTCAGAATCATGCTAGGTGGACTTTGCTATTGTGTCTCCATCAACACACACAAACGCACAATCCTCCCTCATCACCCATTCCACGCAAAAGCAAGCCGCGCCAAGAACCATGCTCCATACTTTGTGCTGAATACGTCAAAAAAGGCAAAAACCTGCAGGGTCCCGTGTTTCGTGGACCACAGAGAGAATGGGACAGTGGGTGTACGGCATGTCGAGTTTGACAAACGGACAACAACAAAAAACGGTTGTGGTTACATTAGTGGGGGTTGCTATGGAACAGAGCGAGGAGCGCATGACAAATGGAGTGGGATAAGAGAGCAGCAGAATTAGACATAAGACAAAAATGTTGAAAGTGCAAAACGGCAAAAGTGACAGCTGACATTGGCACATAGTTTGTGTCGCCGTCGCACTGTATCTGCATTGGGGGATAAGATACCACGAATGACAACACTGTGGAGATTGGCAATGCTTCTTTAACTCTGTTCGGCGGCCAACGTTGCATAAAGACTACGATCCGATCAAAAGGGCACGATCGTGTCAACTTTTATCTTTGGGTGTAAGAATAAGATTCCATTTGTTTTCCTGCATCAGGAGTAATCAATAAACTTTTGCGAACTATCCTCGCAGCGGACTTGCAGATGAAATAAAACGGATGAGTGTGCCCCCTCTTGGGCAACTGGTGTAGCTCGAGCCTTTGCCGGCGTTACATGAATGCGTGGAGGCCAGTGGCCTTTACAGGATTGTGGTGAGAGAACCATACAGACCATGATTCAAGCTCAAGTTCATAGCGAACGGGCAGAACAGAAAAGAAGAAAGAAAAAAAAAAAAACCGACTTAGAATGCGCAACGTACAGAGTGCGAAGCCGTGACAAACCCAGTGGGCGACGCAAATGTGGCGGCAGAACAAGCAATAGCAGACAGCCGTGCAGTGAAGATAAGATCAAGGTAGAAAGAACTAAGCGACCCTGGTGAAAGACGAAAAGGGCAAATAAGTATATGGGTATAATACAAACAAACGTCCGTAGGGTGCAGGATCAAGAAGCCGTGGAAAAACCGGCGGGGAATAAAGAAAGAAGCAGCAAAAACATAGAAAAAGCAAGAATCCATGACGTCCGTATCCACGTAAATCCACGTAAAAAGTTCCTCGATAACATGACAAACGAGTGCCTGCTATCACAATAAAAAAGGCAAAGCAAAAAGCCTGGGGTATGAAAGCCGTCAAGAAGAAACAACGTCCGAAAGGACTGGGGTAGAAAGTCTTCGAGAGAAAGGAAAAAGCCACATAGAAATGGAGCAGAGGAAAGGGCACAGAAGAAAAGGGAATAAATGGCAAAGTCCGTTAAAAAACAAGAAGAGAAAAGAGAAAAGCAAATCCGTCGCAGTCATGTGCGTTCCCTAGACCAGCCCGCCTGGTCGTTCCGTGTTCCATTGTCCATAACGCCTGCGCAAGTGTGCGCCCGTTTTTGTGTGTTTCGAGGGTGACAAGCCGAGTCTTGTCTCCTGCTTGCGGCTTGGTGATGCGATCATTCATTCATACATGTTGTACATTTGGGGGTGAGGAGAGCTGGAGCTGTCCGAGCTGGAGCTGTCCGAGCTGGCGGCTGCTCTACCACCCCTTGGCATGGTAACCGTGGGCAAAGTTGTAGCACTCGTCTTTGGCCAGCTCCGCTGCGAGGTCGACCTCGGGAAGAGACGGCTGGTCGCGGAACCCGTTGTGCTCCCGCGCCTTTCCTTTGCCCTTACCAACGTAGACGTCGTCAAGGCTGTGCATGTGGAAGGTTCTCTGCGTGACACTAGGTGCAGAGCGTGTTCGATGGATCGGCGGGGGCGAGAGCGCTGTCACACAGACGTCTTCGTCCTTTGCGATGACTGTCAGGGGTACGCCCGTCGACGGTCCAGCCTGTGTGCTTCCGGTGAGGCGGCGGCGAGGGGGACCATAGTGGTTGAAGCGGTGGCGGGAGTTGTTCTCCTCCAGAATGTGGCCGTGCAGGGACGAGCTAAGTTCGGCGCCCAACAAATGGCTGCTAGCCGATCGGACAAGGGCGGGACGCATAGTGATGCCGTGTTTGCCGGGGATGGTCATGATGCCAGTGGCATTGATAATAGCTTGAAGGCTGCTGCTGTTGCCAAACGGCTGGAAGGAGCCCGCAGGCCCCATGATGCGAGCAATAGCGCCGCCATGTGTCGTTGTCGCCGACGACGTCTCGGGTGATGTGCTGGGAGCGGTACCGGGAGCGCTAATGGGCGCCGAGCCAGACGAGGAGTCAGCCCCAGACACCGTGTTGATGGACGAGGAGGCTGAGGTGCTGGACAGGACCGTAGCCACTGCTGTTGCCATCGAGACCATTGCCGTCGATGGTGACATGGGAGGCGTTAGGGCGTTGCACCGTGATGTGGAAGACATGTACCGCGTGGCCAGCAGCGAATGGGGCGTCGAGGGAGGAACCGGAGGCGGCTCATGAGGCGATTGAGCACCGATGAAGGGGGGCGTCAGAGGAGGGGTCACCGGGCCTGGGTGGCAACGCAGAGGATTCGGGAGGCCACCCTCGCTTCCCATGCCAAAGGGCGAGCCGCGAGGAGCGGCAAGCGCAGCCTGGCTGCTCCGACGGCTGCTCGAGGCACTGCCAGCGAGGCTGTTGTTGCGAGAATCAGCATCAGCGGCAGCCGTCTCTTGGGCGTGGCGGCGAAGCTGAACACTGAGGTTCGAGACGAGAGAGCCATCGGGATTGCGGGCATGCTTCACAGGGATGCCAACAATGATCAAACGACCCTTGGAATCGTAGAGCCGCGAGGCGTCCATCTCGGCGGCCAGCTTTTTTGAGCGAATGTAGCGCTGGTACTTGCTCGGAATCTGCACCTGGCCGCGGCGGACGGCGACAGCAGTCTTGATAATAGCAGTACCGTCGGCGTTGTAGGACATGCCGGTTTCGTCCTCCCAGTCCTCGTCAGAGTTAGCAATCGCGCACGAGGAGTCGTCCGGCTTCTGGTCCTTCATTTCGTCGTCGTCCGAGTCCGTGACGGCACTCTCTTCGTCGCTGTTGACAACGGGGCCGATCACGTCGTCGATGGTTGTGGTTTGGTTGTCGCTGTCGCTGTTGTCGCCAGTCGACGCAGTCTTGCCAGATTCATTGTTGTCGGCATCCACATTGCCTTCGTCGACACAATAAACGTCGACATGGCCAACACAACTGGGGAAATTTCCGTCCTTGTCACCCACGGGTATGCGAAGCCGCGAGGTGAAAGCCGTCAGTGTGGCCGGAACAAAAGCGCTGGAAAGTTTATCCTCGACGCTGCGGTACGGCCGTTCGCCCTCGAGGGGCAGCGCTGCCTCTTTGAAGATCAGCGCGTCGAGCTCTGGATTCATGTACGCGCGCATGGCTGTCAACGTTTTGACATCCATGGCGGCAGCTGGTGAGGATGTCGACGCGTGTTCTCTATCTTGCGTCTTGTTTTGATGGTTTATTTTGCTGCGGCAGTGTTGAAAGTGAAAAGGAAGTGATTTGTTTTGATGTGCGTCCGATGTTTTGTGCCTGGGATGTGAAAAGGCACTGTCAACAGTCGATGGAAACGAGTGAATGGGTGAGCGATGCGTGAAGAGAGAGAGACAGACAGTAAAAGGACGACGAGTCCGCGCTGTCTAGATCAACGTCGCGAGATGGGAACTTGGAGATGATAAAAGGGCAGTCGTCCGATGGAGGTCCAGTCTCTCTGCAAGAGAAAACGGGAGCACTTCGAAGCGGGCGACGTGGAGAGGGCAGGACAGGGGGTCAACGAGAGCTGGGAAACAGTGGCCTCGAGCGCACTTTGTTGATCGGTGTCAGAATCAAAAGAAAGTTGCAGATCTGCTGGGGCGTGAAAATACTAGGAGGAGGTAAATCGTGTGAAGGAGGGCCAGAGAAGAATACTGTGGTGGATCTGTGTGGAAAATCCGGAAGCTAGTACCTGCAGTTTGCTACAATAAAAAAGAAGGGAAAGTGCGAGCTGCTGGGAAGGAAACAATAGTCCAGGTTTTCACCCGGGGAGACAAAGATATAATATTTTGCTCGGGGGGCTGGGGAGGGAGCAAACGACAAAGTTGGAAAGAGCGAACGGGTGTGTCTGATAGGGAAGGAGCGACCGTGTATAAAGCGACAAAGACAACAAGATGGCGATGGGCAGCTCGAGGACAGTGAGGGAAGGCGCGTTTATGATACAAAACGGAAGGAGCAACACGCCACGTTGAGGGGTTCTGGCCCGCAAAAGGAGGAAAGAAGAAAAAAAAAGAAAGAAAACGGGGAAAGGAAGAAAAACAAAAGAAAAATACAAAACAGGATCTGAGGCTGCCCGAAAGACAACACACAAGCAGTACAGTAAGACGGCGAGAGACATTGAACAGCTCGTGCATGCAGTACGCAAAACAAGAAAAGAAAGAGGTGGCAACAGGAATGCAGGGAGTCTGTGGTTCGACTTTTTGTCTCGCAGCTCCTTTGGTATCGCCTTCTTCCCATCAAGTGAATATCGAGTACAGTACTGATAGCTTTCAGAGCAGTATTGCAAGAAAGCTGCGTGGGGGTGAGTCCGTCGCCATTTGTCCAGGAGAAGTGTGGAAAAGGTAGTGAAACAAAATAAGTCACGATATTTGACTTTATTCTCACTCTGTTATCTCCAGAGAGAAAACAAATATGAGATATTCCAATAAATGAGAAGTACGAACTTGGATTTGGGGCAGAAATGGCCAGCTCTTATTAAGGGGAGACACGCTGAAGCAAGGGAGGCATGGAGAGGGTGAAGGTATTAGGAAAACGAGAGGGATACAAAGCATGCTCAGTGAAGATAATTTGACTGGCTCGCTGGTGCTTACAGAAGCCACATTTTCTGTCAGTTTTTCGAATTTTACTTTCGACAAGCTCTTGTAATATGGTGGCTTTTGCCTCCTTTTAACTTTCTTTTTTTTATTCTTGCCCCGTTTCCTTGACCACTCCACCTCGTCGCCCACGTTCAGGTTGCTTTCTTTTCCGACACGCTGGTACCGCGCCTCCATATTCCCGGAATTTGCATAACCTTGGATGTTGGGTAAGTGTAGGAAGCCACCTTTTGTTTTTGTTTTTTGCTGCTCACTTGGGTTTTGCTAAAGGCAAAAGGATATTGTTTATCTGGAAGTCACGGTCTTATGGATGAGATGCCCAGCTGTCTGAAGCCTTCATTTTTATTCGCTCACTATTTCACCTTCGTCACTTTTCACCTCATTTCTCGAGTCCTTGTTGACAATTCCCATTTTTGTTTTTATTTCCGCCTGGGACTCATGTCGCAGCGTACCCCCCCTCCCCCTCCCCCTCTGCCCTCTCCCCATTTCCCCACACCACCATGCACACAAGACAGTCTATCTCATCCCTTGGCCTGGCCACACTAGCTCCCGGCTTCGTGCCGCGGAAGCACCGACCCCTGCAACCCAGAACCAGGTGCACCATCCCCTTGGTTTTCATTGGGGTCCGGTTGCCACCCTGGATTTTATCATTTTTAACTTTTACAAAATAAACCAGAAAAAGAAAACAAGTGCTGAGGCGTTAATCCACCCCCTTCCTAGCGCACCCGTCCTCCTTCTTAGCTCTGCCGTTCTCAAGTCCTCCTCCGTCCTCTTTTGATTTCGCTGGTATGTCTCACATACGCGCACTCGCCACCCCTACGCATTGCGTCTCCCTTGCCTCTTTCCCATGGTGTCCGTTTTGATCTGTCCATGTTCGTTCGCCGCCCAACATCGCCATGGAGGCCCTTTTCTGCTTCTGGGAAGTCGGCCTCGCGGGACAAGGACGAGGACAGGACGACCCAATGCTCTCTGGTTGCACGGCATTATTACCAGGTGATGCAGCACGTCCGTTGTACGTACACACGCTGAATCGTTCAGACGACAGCGTGCCAGCCGTACCACGCGTGGCGTACAGAGTAGTGTGTACTTGATGGGTTTCTGCATGTCTTGGCCCAGGCCATGTTCGCGCAACATGCAGCCAATCCCGAACATCTGTTGGCCGTCTACCCCTCTTGCACAAAGCACTCCACGCGACGATTCTCCGCCTTTTCTCCATACGTTTCGTACTGGCAACTTTCTTGTCCATCAACTCGTTTTCTGGTTGTCTGGATATGCACCCCGTCCTCTTGGCCTTGTGTATCCTGCTTGGACCGACTCCTCTCTATCACACAGCTTCGAGTACTCCGTACTTGATACTGCGAACCGCAGTTTCCCTTACGTACTCTTGAACAACTCGTTTCCCCTCTGGGATGCTATTGTGCCGACCCTTCAAGCCCTGTTCCCCTCCTCATCCCTTTCGTTTACTAACCCCTTTCTGGGAAAGTTTCTCCAAGCTACACCAGGCTCTCTGGGACTGTCCCATAAGCTTGTCTCTCTACCGTCCTTGTACCTGTTCATCGGTGGATTCTGGGTGATTGGCGATGAACGATGGACCGTCGTAGTGCAGCCGTCGGCTGATCCGCTACGACCCGACCTCTGGAAACGAAGCCGGCGGGGCCGGTGGACGAAGACAAGGACAGGGAAGCTTGTATCTCGTAAAGTAACTCTATGCAGTAATGTTTGTGTTGTTTTAGACACATACGCTTCGAAACTTGGGTATTTCATTTCATGGAGGAACCTTCGCAACGGCTCGTTGACAAGATGGCAGCCCGACAGCCAAAAGATATGACCGGTGACGGAAAGTTCTCCTGGCCGGCGCAACTCCAAGTTTTGCTCTGTTTGGAGCCCAGAGTTATCCTTCCAGTAGTTCCACTTTTTGCTTCTTAGGGCCCAAGGGGTTGGGTGGTTGTCCTCCGTATTCTTCATTCGTCGTGGCCGTCCCACAAACGGCCGGAGCTTCATTTGTTTTGATGCTTCTCGGTCGCTAACATCGTGCGTCCACGGCAATCGGAAAGTAGAGAAAAGACCATCAAGTACCGAAGAATGCTCGACCATAAATGCTTTCACATCTGGACTGTTGCTAATAAGTAATGCTGCTTTCTTTGGCAGATGGTTCCTTCCTATATCTCCTGGGTTTCGTCCTTTTCTTGCCGTTTCCTGGCCACTCCAATCGGTCTTTCCTTTGACAGTCTCTCACTATGGAATTCAGCATATTGCGTTCTTTCCTGAACCACAACGTACAGGGCTACTCTTTCCTCCAACTCCAGCGCTCCGTCCCGTTCCTTCCGAGTCGCCCATGTAGGCCAATTCTGTTGTTCCGAGGACGGCAACTTCACTTGTAACCGCTCGTTTCTTTATTCACCGCCTTGTTATGGTGGTGATGCAGGCCGTTTGATTCTTGGTTTCAAGACCGGTGAGCGCTCCCTTAGCAATCCTCACATACTCCCCCGCACGACATACACAGAAGAGAAACGGCTCATGTTTTCGGTGTTATCCAGAGATGGCGGTATTTGAGTGGAGAAGGGGAGTGTAAACTCCATAGCCGTACAGATTATTTGTCAAGTACAAGACAAAACACGACGAAAAGGTGTGGTGGAGCACCATGGGGGTACATGTACTCGGCGGGAGGCTAGGTCTGTCCCCGTCGTCACAATTACGAGTGCGCTTACGCACACACACACACACACACACGCTTCTGCGCCAAGAGAGACACTGTCTCTGAGCCGTTCAGCTGGAATGGTCTTACCGCTAGTTGGTTTTCAGTGGGAAAGGGAAGCAACTGTTTACAATTTCAAGTGAGAGAAAACCAATAGCGGAATTGAAAAGAGAAAGAGTATCTCGGAGCATTCTCTGACGTCCTCTCTTTCCGTCATACAAAGAATATTTCGCCAGTTTCTTCTTCTGCTCTTGATAGACAGAGCGCGCAGCAATTACTCCGTACGGCGTGGGAGCATCAATCCCTGCCAGGCTATAGAATGGGAGAGATGAACACGACAATCAAAATTTAGACAAAGTTACTTACGTTACGGCATCCGGAAGGACAGAAGCGAACGATCTTCTCGGGATAGCTTCTTTCGTTTGTCGATCACGTTGTTCTTCGGCCTACGGTTGGGAAGGATGCTGCGTCGTGTTTCGAGCTACGAAATACGCGTAGGTTTCATGGCGGACTCATACAGACCTGCACATCGTATGTCGTACTTTGGCCAACCATTTCTTGATGTCCAATTTGGATGGCGGGTTTTGGAGTTAGCGCCCGCTTGTCCCTTGTTCTTGGATCTCGCATATCGTGCGGTGCCGTCGTTCGGTTCGTTGAAGCGGAACCGGGCCATGTTGTTAGTGCCAATCAGGCCTCCACTAAAACAAAAAACACACTTGGGGCAAGTGTGCGGGAGTGCCCATCGACGGCGTCCTTTGCTTAGGAGGCCGGATCCCTGTTCTTCCCAACGTTCCCAATGTCTGTGTTGACGGGGCGTCAGACAAGAGGCCCGGAGGCCCAGACAGACCGCTGGGCTTCCGTC